GTGGCTCAGGCCTGTAATGCTAGCACCTGACCGAGGTGGGTGGATCGTTTGAGCTCAGGAGTTCGAGACCAGCCTGAGCAAGAGCAAACCCTGTCTCTACTAAAAATAGAAGAAATTACTTGGACAGCTAAAAATATATAGAAAAAAATTAGCCACATGCCTGTAGTCCCAGCTACTCGGGAGGCTGAGGGAGAAGGATCCACTTGAGCCCAGGAGTTTGAGGTGCTGTGAGCTAGGCTGAACGCCATGGCACTGTTTAGCCTGGGCACAAAGTGAGACGTGTCTCAAAGGAGGCTGAGGCAGGAAAATCACTTGAGCCCAGGAGTCTGAGGTTGCTGTGAGCTAGGCTGATGCCATGGCACTATAGCTCAGATGACAGAGCAAGACAGAAAGGAAAAGAAAGGGGAAGAATGGGAAGGGGATGACGGAGGAGGGAAAGGAAAAGGGAAGGGGAGGGTTTGGGTGTGTTAGGGGAACATTTAAAATGGATGTCAAAGTAACACAAAATCTTAGGAATTTACCATGGAATTTTATAAGGAGACACACAGATGAGTCTAGAAGAAATTTAGAAATTTAATAACCTGCTCAATGTCAGAATGTTATATTTTGGAGGCCAATCTAGCTAGGTAGGTGGCTTTTACATTTAGTGTGTTTTAAAACTGGCCCAGCAAGCTCTGGTAGAGCTCACACTGAATCTCAGGTCCCCAAAAGGGAGACACCATGGGACTGGGCCATGCAATGTTTTCACAGTGAATTTTGTTATAAAGACATTTTTCTAAATATTTAAACTGTGTTGCTTATCAAAGCCACAAAAAGCAGCCCTTATAGTAATAACTATGTACTGTAAATATGTACCCCAGCCAGTGTCCCACTGGCCATCACACACATAAGAGGTTTTTGTTTTTAATAGTACAGGTTGGATATCAGTCTTTAATTAACCTGACTTCTAACCACATAGGTTTTTAAAAAATTGTTTAAAATCTGTTACTATTCAGATTTTAGCCAGGACAAGCTGCTGATATTTCTAGGTTCTGAATTTTTTTTATTAGAGGTACTCTCTTAAGTGAAAGCTGATCTTTTTTTTTTTTCTTTTTTCTTTTAATAGAAGCAAGGAAGCACAGAGAGAGAAAGCTAATCTTGGTCAGAGGTACTCTCTTAAGTGAAAGATAATCTTTTTTTTTTACTTTTTTTTCTTTTTTCTTTTAATAGAAGCAAGGAAGCACAGAGAGAGAAAGCTAATCTTTGTCAAAGCTACTTTCTTAAGTAAAACTAAGTCTTAACCATGGTTATGACTTAATCAAGGACATCTTTAAAGATGTGTAAGGTAGTCTTCACAAGATCTAGCACTACCCCAAAGAAAGCTGAAAGAAACGAAAGTTTTGCTAGTCACAAATAGAGTGCAACTCATATTTCTATCCAGCCATATTTTTTAGGGTCTCAACTTCTTAGCTAACTGTCTATACACAAAGGCCCAAAAGCACCCATGCCCCACAGGTGGAAGAATATATGAAATCAAAAACTGTCCACGGAAGGAAAAAGAATTAATAAATGGCAAAATTCATACAAATATCAAATTAAAAGGCCCAATCCAAAATCAAAGCCAGGTTACCACAGCAAAAGCACGAAATTTTAAGTAGCCTTCATGGTGAATCCCATGTGGAATCCAAAGTGGGCAGTCTGAGTGTACAAGGATTTTGACTTTAAGTCAGATTTTTGCTTTTTTACCTTTTTAAGTGAATGTTTAAACCAGGCATCCTCAAACTATGGCCGGTGGGCCACATGCGGGCCCCTCTGGCCCGCCGGGTGTTTTTGCCACCGCTGCCTGTCCTGCTTAGCAGCCGACTTGTCCAGGCCAGGCCTGTAGTACTATCAACTCTTGATCATCTGTTCCACTTTTCTAAACAATTGTTGACAGACAAATCTAAATTTGCATTTTTAAAAAAATAACTCAGGTGAAACAAGGTAGAAAATTTATATTTCAATATACAGAGAGGAAATTTAACATTTTTTTTAAAGAAAACATTTGGGCTGGGCAAAGTGGCTCATGCCTGTAATCCTAGCATTCTGGGAGGCCAAGGCAGGAGGACTGCTTGAGGTCAGGAGTTCAAGACCAGCCACCCAGCCTGAGCAAGAGTGAGACCCTGTCTCTACTAAAATAGAAAAATTGGCCAGGTGTGGTGTCATGCACCTGTAATCCCAGCTACTTGTATTTTTAGTAGAGACAGGGTCTCGCTCTTGCTCAGGCTGGTCTCGAACTCCTGAGCTCAAACGATCCACCCACCTCGGCCTCCCAGAGTGCTAGCATTACAGGCCTGAGCCACCACGCCTGGCCAGAACTTTTCATCTTATAACTTAGTTTTTATCCTTTGACTAACATCTTCCCATTTCCCCCACCCTCTGGCCCCTGGTAACCACTTTTCTGAACTGTGCATCTAGGAGTTCAACTTTTTTTTAGAGACAAAGTATCACTGTCTCCCTGAGGCTGCAGTCCAGTGGCATCATCACAGCTCACTGTCACTGAATTCTACTGTTTCAGATTCCACATTTAAGGGAGATCATGTAATAGATATCTTTTTGTGTCCATCTTATTTTACTTATAATCTTGTATATCTGGCTCATCTATGTTGCCACAAATGGCAGGATTTCCTTTTTTACGGCTGAATTAATATTCTGTTGTTTAAATATATACATTTTCTTTATTCATCCATTGATGGACACTCACGTTGTTTCTGTGTCTTGCTTATTGTATATAATGCTGCAATGAACACGGGTGGCAGGTATCTCTTTGAGGTGCCTCTCTTTGAGGTGGAAGTTGGAGGTTGCAGTGATCTACGATGGTGCCACTGAACTCTACCCAGGGTGACAGAGTGAGACCCTGTCTTAAAAACAAAACAAAACAAAACAAAACAAAACAAAACAAAAAGCCATTCCAGGTGACTGACAAGTGGTCTCCCACCCACTCACCAATAGGCCAAGTCTTATCCTGTTGAAGAAAATGAAACACACTTCCATTCTCAAAGTTACTAGGTGACCATGATGGATCAAAATAAAAACAAAGTCATTCTCTAGTCATGTCTCTAAAAATCTAAAAGAAAATAGACTCCAAAATGACCAAAACCATCCTCCTTTAACTAATATAACGGATGCTTCTTATGAATAAGGTTTAGCTCCACTTTATTCTTTCCGCCTCCTAGATAAGAACCATTAGGATTTCCAAGGACAGAATTAAGTTCACCTAATTACATCCAACACATATCACTTTGTTCATTAATAATGAAATCACCTAAAACAAACACAAGTCCAATAAGAAGTCCTTTTGAGCACCCTCTTATTGATAACCCACAGCCATTTATGCTTTGTGTTCATTTGTATCACAATCCATTACACTCCTACACTCCACTCTGACTATAGGTATGATCCTGGAAAATCTTTGTTGAGGTGGCACTGACAAAAACATGAATCATCTTTTTTTGGTATTATGAAAAAATAAGAAATTAATTTCATGACACAAATTGTAACCATTTCAAAATAAATAAAATAATAATTACAATGGGATATTTTAATATATATTCTCAAGTAATAGGAAGTACAATACTATTTGTTAGCATACAAGTTGTTAGAAAAGAGCTAATAAAATATTTCTAAGAAATACCTGTACAATCCTTTGTCTGACAAAAAAAATGCACATTGTTTTTATTATATAAAACATAACTGAGCATGTACTGTGAGATGACATTCATCTGTGACTAACTGGAAACTCACAATCTGTATGATCCTTGCTCTCACATGGAAAGACTCAGAGAGAGCAGTCACCACACAATGTGGCTCAGGAACAACCACCCATGTGGCTCTTTGTGATTGCACCATTGTAGTTGTCTTAGTAGAGTCAGGAAAACAGTCATTACCAGTATTAACAGGACAAGGTGTTTACTATACAAATTAAACCATACAGGAATACAATGTAAACAAGAGGTGAGTCAGAGAAAAAGACAATCCCCCAACCATGAGTTTGAATTAGTTGCCTGGTAGACAAATGAGGGTTTGCAGGAAATCCAGATTGCAAAAGGATCTTTTGACATGGAGCTTCTGGAGACATCTGTGGAATCCTACCCCTCTAAGAAAAGAGAGATCAAGTAGATGGGATGTTCTGAAGAAACTCTTAATTGGCAGGGCAACCTATCAGGAAAACAGACAGGAAGCAGGTATCCATGTAGTGTCTATGCTGTCTTCCTGTTTGATGAGTCCAAAACCTGACTCATGCCTTCTTCAGTTCTGCCTTCCAACTTTCATATGAGTTAGGCTATGGTGAATTGTAACAAGGAAACAAAAAGAGAATAGATTCTAGAGAATTTAGTTCACAACACTATCCAAATTGACATAATACAATCCAAGAGGGCCATCTCCAGTCTAGATTTTATTGTCCTACCAAAGATGTTACTCCTTAATTCAAAGTCTATCATCTCCAACCCAGTCAGAAAGAAATACAAAGGGCAAAGGGCAAGACAACCTTGACATGCTTACAAATTTATAATAACTATTTATTAGCAAAGAAAATGAAATTAGGCTATTCTGCCCAAAAAGAAAGGTTTTCTCATAAGAAACGTGGAATGAATATATATATATATATATATAATAAGGGATATCCAATATTTGGCATAGGATGTCAGTAGAAAACTTCCAATACCAAATTGTCATTTTTCAATGGCCCCTTCCTTACACAGCTATTAAGAGAAAAATTTTATTAACTGATCTGAGGAAAAAACACTATCTATACAACTTCTGCACTATTGTTTAAAGAGTACTAACAGAATAATCTCAGGGTTTTTTTTTTTTTATGAAAGTAAGACATAGAAGTCCATAGTCCAGAGATCCACTTTAAGACTGTGGCACTGATTAGGCAGGCATGGCAGCATGCATGCTTATAATCCCAGCCACTCAGGAGGCTGAGGCAGGAGGATCTCGTGAGCTCAGGACGCTAGCCTGGGCAACATAGTAAGTAAGACCTCATCTCAAAAACAGGCAAACAAAAAAGAACGTGACACTGATGAAGATAATACATTTATAATTTTACAACATTTCTTTCGTGGCATGAATATTCTAGAGCATTATACATGAATTAATTTGTATCAGGATTTACCATATTACATACATTCATACAACTTCTCTCCAATGTTAATTTTCATATGACTTTGAAAATAGTTAAAATTGAAAAATTTTCTACATTTATTACATTTTAGTGTTTCTATTCAGTGTGCACTCTCCTTGCATGTTTTTGTAGGGATGCACGCCAACGGAAGGTTTTGCCACATTCCTGACATTTGTAAGGTTCATTTCTATTATGCATTCTCATGTGTACTTGAAAGGCTGTAAGAAAGCTGAAGGATTTTCTACATTCCCTACATTCATAGGGTTTCTCTCCAGTATGAATTCTTTCATGCATGTGAATATAACTGGAATGACTGAAGGCTTTACCACATTGTTTACATTCATAGGGTTTTTCTCCAGTGTGAGTTCTTTCATGTTTTTGAAAGGAACTGCAACAACTGAATGCTTTCCCACATTCCTTACATTTATAAGGCCCATCTCCTGTATGTGATATCATGTGTATTCGAACACTTGTAAGGTACATGAAGGCTTTCCCGCATTCCTTACACTTATAGGGTTTCTCTCCAGTGTGAGTCCTTTCGTGTGTTCGGAAACCTAGAGGAGAAATGTAGGTTTTCCCACATGTTTTACATTCATACTCTTTCTCTGCAGTGTGAGTCCTTTCATGTTTTTGAGCATAATAGCGACAACTGAAGGCTTCTCCACATTCCTTACATTTGTATGGTTTATCTCCAGTATGAGTCCTTTCATGTGTTTTCATAGACTGGCTATATTTGAACACTTTTCCACATTTTTTGCACTCATAGAGTTTCTCTCCAGTGTGGGTACTTACATGTGCACGAAAGCCTAGAGGAGTCATGTAAGTTTTTCCACATTGTTCACATTCATAGCGTTTCTGATCAGTGTGATTCCTTTCATGTTTTTGAGCAGTATGGTGATAACTGAAAGCTTTCCCACATTCCTTACATTTGTAGGGTTTCTCTCCAGTGTGAGTCTTTTCATGTCTTTGAGCAGAGTAGTGATACATGAATGCTTTTCCACATTTTTTACATTCATAGGGTTTCTCTCCAGTGTGGGTTCTTTCATGTGCTCTAAAACCTAGAGAAGACATGTAGGTTTTCCCACATTGTTTACATTCATAATATTTTTGTGAAGTGTGATTCCTTTCATGTTTGCGAACACTATGGCGATAACTGAAGGTTTTTCCACATTCTTTACATTTGTATGGTTTCTCTCCACTATGAGACTTTTCATGTACTTGAGCAGACTGGAGATATCTGAATGCTTTTCCACATTTTTTACATTCATACGGTTTCCCTCCAACATGAGTTCTTCCATGTATTTGTAAAGAATATCTACAACTGAAGGCTTTCCCACAGTCCTTACATTTGTAGGATATTTCTGCACTATGCGTTCTTTTATGTTTTTTAAAAGATTGTAGATAACTGAAGCCTTTGCCACATTCCTTACATTTATATGGCTTCTCTCCATATTCTCGACACTTATATGGTTTGTGTCTGCTGTGAGATATAATGTGCCTATTAAGGGATGAACTACAAATGAAGAGTTTTCCACACACACTGCATTTATATGGCTTTACTTCAGTATGAGTTTTCTTGTTCAGACTGAGATTTGGAATCTGGCTGAAACTTTGTTCACATTGGCTACCTTCTTTACTGTCATCAAGTTTCTCCACCATATGACTTCTGTAAAAAATGAGAAGTGCTTTATGTTTACTAAAGGTTTTCTATTTATTAATTGATACTAGAATGACTTTTTTTCACATGCTGGGAAAGTATAGATTTTTTCATCCCAAAATGCTTGTAAGGTGAACATATTGAATGCTCTGCAAGAGGGCTCAATCCTAGCTGTTATGAAAATAGTAATATTCATATATAGGTTTCTGAATACTATTTCCAGGTGAACTATTTTTCAAACACTGAATATCTTTCATATTTAAAAAAACAAAAAAAAATAAAAAAATAAAAAAACACTTTTGAGGCTGGGTGCAGTGGCTCATGCCTGTAATCCTAGTACTCTGTGAGGCCAAGGTGGGAGGATCCCTTGAGCTCAGGAGCTTGAGACCAGCCTGAACAAGAGCGAGACCCTGTCTCTACTAAAAATAGAAAAATCATCTGGGTGTGGTGGCGTATGCCTGTAGTCCCAGCTACTCAGGAGGCTGAGACAAGAGGATGGCTTGAGCCCAGGAGTTTGAGGTTACAGTGAGCTAATGATGCCACTGCATTCTATCCAGGAAAATAGAACAAGAAATCTTTCTCAAAAAACAAAAGGACACTCTTGGTTAATGTTTTCTTAGATAAATTTAAGGTTAGGCTTACTTGTTTTGTATCCTTATTGATAAAATTTCAGAACATACTAAGATTTTCTCCTGGGATATGTTTTCTCTTGTCAGTGTGACTTACCTGAGATTTCTCCCCTGTTTTTTGTACTGATCTTCAATGCTCTGGTCTTTCTGTTTTTTTCCTGAAATGCAGAACCAGAAAAATCACAAGTTATCAGAAATTATAGAAAAACTATTCGATTCTATTTCCATGATGAGATGTGATTTATTTAAAAAAGTACTGCTTCTTCACATTCCAAATCTTGGAACAGCATTGACGACAAGAAAAACTTGTTCTCTAATTTAATAGAGAATGTGATGGAATGACATCATTCTTACCTATTGACTGCAGGTTCCTGAAGGTTTCCCACATAACATCTCTGTAGAGTACTCTCTGTGAATGATCCAGCAAAGCCCACTCCTCCAGTGTGAAGTTCACAGCCACATCCTCAAAGGAGACCAAGTCCTGAAACATTCCACGTGTATAAAGGAAGATGAGTGAGACTGACAGCACTGGGGATCTATACTCAATTCATAATATTTTCACCTGTGATTCTGTGACCTCTAAAGATTTATTCTATGAATTACTTGTAAAAACTCAACTCTAACTCTTTGGCTACTCTCAATTCCTCAGAACTATGAACACAAGGCAATTAATTCTACATCTTCACTGTGATCACTTCAAGTCTTATTGCTCTCCAATGGTAGGATCCATAGCACTTTGGAGAAGAGAAATGCTATACACACACACACACACACACACACACACACACACACAAAATCAATTTTAATGCCATCAATTCCTTGTCAGAAAAACTCTTTCATTGTCTTCCTTATGCATTATATCACTCAATATTCCGTAAGACACAACATTCCATGAGATATCAAATCTGGATATCATTTAAATGAATAAAAGCACACTAAAGAACTGGAAGCTTTTTCAACACTATTCCCATCACCAAACATGAGGCCAGGAGGGATGGGGAAAACAAACTTGTAACAAAATTCAGCTGACCACACTGTCCTGAAATACTCTAGGATGTTATAGGTAGTAAGATCCAGCTAGTTCAATGAAAATATTTCTTTTGGAGAAGTATTCATTTTAACTTGTTCATATAATATTTATAAGACTCAGTTCTTCGTTCTTCTTTCTGTTCCATTTCATGGAGCTATTAAGTTTCTGGGAAGTTAGAGCTTAGGCATGAGGAAAAAGGCATGACAGCTTAAATTTTAAAAATCCCTTCTGTGCTTCAGGGCTACATCCCACAATTTTTTTTTTTTTTTTTTTTTTGAGACAAGAGTAAGTCTGGCTCTGTCCCCCCGGCCTGAGTGCAGTGGCATCATCATCAACCTCATTGCCACCTCAAACTCCTGGACTCAAGCAATCCTACTGCCTCAGCCTCCCAAGTAGCTGGGACTACAGGTGTGTACCACCACACCTGGCTAAGTTTTCTATTTTTTGTAGAGATGGGATCTCACTCTTGCTCAGGCTGGACTTGAACTCCTGACCTCTGCCTCCCAGAGTTCTAGAATTACAGATGTGAGTCACTGTGCCAACTCCCACTAATTTTTAATGTACATCCTCAAATGATAACATGCCAGAAGAGTTCTTTCCAGCAGAACCATTACAGTGTACCCTGGGCCTTGCTGACCTTAAGGAACAGGTTAAGACTTCCAAGCTTACATGGGAATTCATTAAGGTCCACAATGATATGATTTACCCATGATTATAAAACATATAAAAGGTTCTCAGCAGAAGTTTCTCCCCAAAGAATATAAAACAACCTTTCTCCATTTCAGAAGGAAGTGATTCCCAACCAACCACTTTAGAAAATGAGGATAAGGGCCGGGCGCGGTAGCTCACACCTGTAATCCTAGCACTCTGGGAGGCCGAGGTGGGCGGATTGTTCGAGGTCAGGAGTTCAAAACAGCCTGAGCAAGAGCGAGACCCCATCTCTACTATAAATAGAAAGAAATTAGGCCGGGCGCTGTGGCTCATGCCTGTAATCCTAGCTCTTGGGAGGCCGAGGTGGGCGGATTGCTCAAGGTCAGGAGTTCGAAACCAGCCTGAGCAAGAGCGAGACCCCGTCTCTACTATAAATAGAAAGAAATTAATT